TGATTCCCGCTTGTATGCCGCCAGGGAGGGATGGGGCTCCGAGGGCCCTATTAATATTTAATCATCTCAGTGTTCTACATTGTGCTTCTCTCAGTTATCTGTGTTTTCCTCGGGATCTAAAGAGAGGAAACCTGAGATAGACGCTGGATAGTAAATGCAGAGCGTGGAAAGCAGACACCTTACTTACCGGCATGACAGCCCAGGATGGGGGTGAAAGTACAAATCCTGAGCCAGTCATTGACCTGAATTTCAAGGATTTGCATTGCCACTGGATAAATTAAAAAAAAATAAATAAAAAAAAAATATATATATATATATATATATATATATATATATATATATATATATATTATAAATATATATACTTCTTATAAAAAAATATACATATATATATTTTTTATAAAATAAAATTTATATATATATATATATATATATATATATATATATATATATATTTGTTTTTTTTTTTTTTTTTTTTTCTTTTAAAATATATATATATTTTTTATTAAAAAAAAAAATATATATATATATATATATTATAAAATATATATATATATATATATATATAAAAAAAAATATTTTTTTTTCTAAAAAAAAAATATATATATATATATATATATATATATTTTTATAAATATATATATATTTTATAAATATATATATATTTTTTATAAAAAAAAAAAAAAATATATATATGTATATATATATATATACACACACACACACACACAATATATACCGTATTTTTCGCTCTGTAAGACACACTTTTTTCCCCCAAAAAAAGGGGGGGAAATGTCAGTGCGTCTTATGAAGCGAATATGGAGCGGCCGGTCCGATATTTCCGCCGCTGCCACCGTGTCAGAATACCAGGCTGGCCGCTCAGCTCTTCTCTGCAGCAGAACCTTACCTGTTCCTCGGTCCAGCACTGTACAGTCTTCCCACGCCGGTATCTTTAGTGTGGGCACCCGGCTGTGCCTACTGCGCATGCACGAGAAGCGCCGCGCTTTGTGAATGGCCCGGCGTCTTCTGGGACACATGACATCCCTTGTACTGTGTCCGCAGTCTCTGGTCATCTCCTGTACCGTGTCCTCAGTCTCTGGTCATCTCCTGTACCGTGTCCTCAGTCTCTGGTCATCTCCTGTACTACGTCCGCAGTCTCTGGTCATCTCCTGTACTACGTCCGCAGTCTCCGGTCATCTCCTGTACTACGTCCGCAGTCTCCGGTCATCTCCTGTACTATGTCCGCAGTCTCTGGTCATCTTCTGTACTATGTCCGCAGTCTCTGGTCATCTCCTGTATATGTCCGCAGTCTCTGGTCATCTCCTGTACTACGTCCGCAGTCCTGGTCATCTCCTGTATGTCCGCAGTCTCTGGTCTGTAATATCCGCTCCTGTCATCTCCTGTAATATGTCCGCAGTCTCTGGTCATCTCCTGTACTGTGTCCGCAGTCTCTGGTCATCTCCTGTACTGTGTCCGCAGTCTCTGGTCATCTCCTGTACTATGTCCGCAGTCTCTGGTCATCTCCTGTACTGTGTCCGCAGTCTCTGGTCATCCCCTGTACTGTCATGTCCGCAGTCTCTGGTCATCTCCTGTACTATGTCCGCAGTCTCTGGTCATCTCCTGTACTGTCCGCAGTCTCTGGTCATCTCCTGTACTGTGTCCGCAGTCTCTGGTCATCTCCTGTACTGTGTCCGCAGTCTCTGGTCATCTCCTGTACTGTCCTCAGTCCTGGTCATCTCCACTACGTCCGCAGTCTCTGGTCATCTCCTGTACTGTGTCCGCAGTCTCTGGTCATCTCCTGTACTATGTCCGCTCCTGTACTATGTGGTCATCTCCTGTACTACGTCCGCAGTCTCTGGTCACTGTCTCTCTGTCTGCTGGTCTCCTGGCCGCAGTCTCTGGTCATCTCCTGTACTGTGTCCTGCAGTCTCTGGTCATCTGGTCATCTGTACTCAGTCTGTGGTCATCTCCTGTCTACGTCAGTCTCTCCTGTACTCCGCAGTCCGTCATCTCCTACGTCAGTCTCTGGTCATCTCCTGTACTATGTCCGCAGTCTCTGGTCATCTCCTGTACCATGTCCGCAGTCTCTGGTCATCCCTGTGCTGTCCGCAGCCTCTGCTTTTCTGTACTATGTCTGCAGTCCATTGGTTCAGAATATTTTTTTTCTTTTTTTTCCACCTCTAAAACCTAGGCATGTCTTATGGAGCAAAAAATACGGTATATATATAAATAAAAACAATTTTTTGGGACCTTCCCCAATGGGTCATGCTGATCCAATGGCCTTAGTATATATATATATATATATATATATATATATACACATACACAGTATATATACATAAGGCCATTGGATCAGCATGACCCATTGGGGAAGGTCCAAAAAAAAGAGATTTTGATTTCTCCTAAAGACAGGAAGGGATTTTCGGAGTTGTGCGTAGATTCCCCTTTTAGTACCTTGAGATAAAACACGGAGGCATGAACCTGCCAATAAAACAATGGAGATGATTCCTCTGACACCAGCCCTTGCTGCAGCTGCAAAAATTGTGAAAGTCACGTCGAAAGCTTCCTTAAAAAAAAGACCAACGTTAAAATTCTCGTTTGTCCTCTTATACCTCCAAGGACGCAAATGTTCAAATATTGTCTAGAAATGTGTATGGGCTGAACAGCAAAGCAAAGGTTACAGATGAAAGACAAGAATGATAGCAGTGATAACAATACAAATACAAATGATAAATCATAAATATTATTATACAGGATTTATGGCGCCGACAGTCTGCACAGCGCTTTACAATATAAGGGGGGCGGTACAATTACAATACATTTCAATACAGAAGGAATAGGAGGGCCCGGCTCGTGGAGCTTACAATCTAATGGACGGGGGGGGGATACAAAAGGTGATAGCTGCGGGGGATGATCTGGCCGAGGTGATTCAAGTACAGTTCTTAGGTGGAGGTGGGGTGGGCTTCCCTGAAGAAGAAGTGAGTTTTCAAAGATCGCCTAAAGCAGACAGGGTGGGGGCTGACTGACCAGACATGCTGTGGTAGGGAGTTCCAGAGAATGGGAGAAGCTCTGGAGAAGTCCTGGAGGTGAGCGTGGAAGGAGGTGATGAGGGAGCTAGGGCGGAGGATATCATGGGAGGAGCGGAGTGGGGGATTTGGGCGATATCTGTGGATGAGGTTGGTGATGTAGCCTGGGGGCAGTGTTGTGGATGGCTTGTAAGCTGTGGTTAGTATTTTGAATTTTATACGTTGGGTTAGTGGAAGCCAGTGAAGGTATTGGCAGAGAGGGGCAGCAGTCACTGATCGGTTGGTAAGGTGTATGAGTCTAGCAGCAGTCGCTGATCGGTTGGTAAAGTGGATGAGTCTAGCAGCAGTCGCTGATCGGTTGGTAAGGTGTATGAGTCTAGCGGCAGTCGCTGATCGGTTGGTAAGGTGTATGAGTCCAGCAGCAGTCACTGATCGGTTGGTAAGGTGTATGAGTCTAGCAGCAGTCGCTGATCGGTTGGTAAGGTGTATGAGTCTAGCAGCAGTCGCTGATCGGTTGGTAAGGTGTATGAGTCTAGCAGTGGTCACTGATCGGTTGGTAAGGTGTATGAGTCTAGCAGCAGTCGCTGATCGGTTGGTAAGGTGGATGAGTCTAGCAGCAGTCGCTGATCGGTTGGTAAGGTGTATGAGTCTAGCAGTGGTCACTGATCGGTTGGTAAGGTGTATGAGTCTAGCAGCAGTCGCTGATCGGTTGGTAAGGTGTATGAGTCTAGCAGCAGTCGCTGATCGGTTGGTAAGGTGTATGAGTCTAGCAGCAGTCGCTGATCGGTTGGTAAGGTGTATGAGTCTAGCAGCAGTCGCTGATCGGTTGGTAAGGTGGAGGAGTCTAGCAGCAGTCGCTGATCGGTTGGTAAGGTGTATGAGTCTAGCAGTGGTCACTGATCGGTTGGTAAGGTGTATGAGTCTAGCAGCAGTCACTGATAGGTTGGTAAGGTGTATGAGTCTAGCAGCAATCACTGATTGGTTGGTAAGGTGGAGGAGTCTAGCGGCAGTCTCTGATCGGTTGGTAAGGTAGAGGAGTCTAGCGGCAGTCGCTGATTGGTTGGTAAGGTGGAGGAGTCTAGCGGCAGTCGCTGATCGGTTGGTAAGGTGTATGAGTCTAGCAGTAACATTCATAACAGACTGAAGGGTGGATAGCCTGTGTAACAGCAGACCAGTGAGGAAGGAGTTGCAGTAATCGAGGCGGGGTATAACCAAGGCGTGGATAAGTTGTTTTGTGGTGTCATTGGTCAGGAAGGGGCTGATTTTGGAGATGTTCCGGAGGTTGAGGCGGCAGAATTTAGCCAGTGAGTGGGGCCCAAAGGAGAGGTCAGAGTCTAGGATTAAGCCTAGCACCCTGGCATGAAGGGAAGGACCAATGGTTGTGCTGTTGATCTTAATGGTAAAGTCGTGAGTGGGGATCGGAGGGGAGGTAATATTACAAGCTCAGTTTTTGAAAGATTTAGTTTATGGTAGTGATGTGACATCCATGCTGATATGTCGCTTAGTAGATTTGTGATACGTGAGGAGATTGAGGGGGTGAGCTGGGGAGTGGAGAGATAGATCTGGGTGCCATCAGCATAGAGGTGGTATGGGAAGCCATGGGAGGTTATCAGTTGGCCCAGGGAGGAGGTATAGAGAGAGAAAAGGAGGGGCCCAAGAACAGAATCTTGGGGTACCCCAACAGAAAGGGGAAGAGGAGCGGAGCGGAGGAGGAGTTGTATGTGACACTGAAAGTGCGCTGAGAAAGGTAAGAGGAGAACCAGGAGAGAGCAGAGTCATGGAGGTCGATTGAGTGGAGTTTGCTGAGGAGGAGCAGGTGGTCAACTGTGTCAAAGGCAGCGGAAAGGTCAAGGAGTATGAGTATGGTGTAATGGCCGTTGGTTGGGATGAGTATGGTGTAATGGCCGTTGGTTGGGATGAGTATGGAGTAATGGCCGTTGGTTGGGATGAGTATGGAGTAATGGCCGTTGGTTGGGATGAGTATGGAGTAATGGCCGTTGGTTTTAGCAGTTAGTAGGTCATTAGTGAGTTTTAGTAGGGCAGTTTCAGTGGAATGTTGTGGGCGGAAGCCAGACTGTCAGGGATCAAGAAGGTTGTTGTCAGGAATGGACTGGCCAGCAATGGTGGGACTCACCTGCCTTTTGATCTGCAGTACCAGGGCTGGCCAGCGGATGCTCCCAGCAATCAGAGACTCAACTTTGCAGCCAGCTAACACCTGGAACTGATTATGCTGGGGTATTTAAGGGATGGCCAGACCCACAGACTCTGCCTTGGTGTTGTGTTTGTCCTGGGCCCTGTATCCTGTTTCTGTCCTGCATCCTGTTTCTGAACCGCTGCTGACTTCTCCTGCTCTGATCCCGGCTCGCTCCTGACCATCCCTCTGCCTGACCCTCTGTACCACGCTGCTTGCTACCTGTTCTGATCCCTGGCTTGTGACCCTGACCATCCCTCTGCCTGACCCTCTGTACTACGCTGCTTGCTACCTGCTGAACCTGGCCTGTGACCCCGACCATTCTCCGCTTGCTCCCCCTGTACCTACCTGCCCTATTGATATTGACCCGGCCTGCCTGACGACGCTTGCTTGTATGTACTGTTATCTGTGGGTGGTTTGGTTTGGTTGCACTGTATTATGTTTTAGTATTGCACTGCGTTTATGTTTGTATTGTTAGTATTAATAAATTATATTGTTTATAACATATCTGAGGTCTGCGTTTCCCTGCGTCAGCCACACACCTCTGGTCACACCTGGGAGCCCTGACAGTTGTTGTCGGTGAGGTAGCAGTTCATACGGTTGTGAACAAGGCGCTCCAGAAGCTTGGAGGCAAACGGCAGCAGGGAGATGGGTCTTAAGTTATTCAAACAGATGGGGTCCAGCAAGGATTTTTTGAGGATGGGGGTAACCAGAGCATGTTTGAGCGGTGAGGGAAAGGTGCCCATGGAGAGTGAGAGGTTGAAGATGTGGGTTACAGAGTTTAGGATATAGCAGGAAGGAGGCTGCAACAGTCGTGAGGGGACAGGATCCAGGGGACAGGTGGTGAAGTGGGTCTTGGAAAGGAGTTCGGTAACTTCCTTGGTGGTAACAGGGTCGAAGGAGGAGAGTGTTGAGTTTGGTGTTGGGATTGGTATGTTGGTTAGAGGAGGAAGCTTGACACTTGGAATCTCATCACGAATTGTGTTGATCTTCTTGAAATGACTGGCAATCTCCTGTGCAGTAAGTAAGTTGGTGGGTGGAGGCAATGGGGGGTGGCGTAAGGAATTAAGGGTGGAGAAGAGTTGACGAGGATTGGATGAGAGAGTCTTGATGAGAGTGTATATAGTAGGTTTGCTTAGCAGCGTGGAGGCTGGAGTTGTATTTGAGAAGAAGGATTTGAAGAGGGTAAAGTCTTTCAGGGATTTAGTTTTACACCATGCTCGCTGAAGAGTGTGGCTGCGTCTCTTGAGACTTCTGGTGTCATCTGTTTGCCAGGGTTGTGATAATGTAGCACCCTGCAGAAATATTGGGCTCAGGATGTTAAATGGACACAAGATGGCAGTGTTCTGCAGACTCTGCCAGAGAAAAGCTTTGTGGGACTTGTAGGCTGTTAGCAGGACTTGCTGTTTATTGTGGAGATGATAAACTACATTTCCCGGAGGAGCTGGCTGATGGGCGTGGGCAGATAAATACCAAAGCCCAGGAACCGGAGGGGAAGTGAACAGTGAGATCTGGAGAGGGAAGCTGTGCGGGACGCTGGAGGTCCGGGCTGGGCCAGTGTCAGGGCTCCCGGGTATGACCAGAGGTGTGTGACTGACGCAGGGAAACGCAGACTTCAGATAGGCATCGGGCCCCCAGGCGGGGCGACAGGCATCGGGCCCCCAGGGGGGCGACAGGCATCGGGCCCCCAGGAGGGGCGACAGGCATCGGGCCCCCAGGCGGGGCGACAGGCATCGGGCCCCCAGGCGGGGCGACAGGCATCGGGCCCCCAGGCAGCGGCGGGCGCCGGACCCCCAGGGCGGAGAGCGACAGGTCTCGGGCCCTCAGGCGGAGCGGCGGGAGCGCAGGACCCCCAGGTGGAACGACAGGTCTCGGGCCCTCAGGCGGAGCGGCGAGCGCCGGACCCCCAGGTGGAGCGACAGGTCTCGGGCCCTCAGGCGGAGCGGCGGGCGCCGGGCCCCCAGGCGGAGCTACAGGTCTCGGGCCCCCAGGCGGAGCGACAGGTCTCGGGCCCTCAGGCGGAGCGGCGGGCGCCGGACCCCCAGGCGGAGCGACAGGTCTCGGGCCCTCAGGCGGAGCGGCGGGCGCCGGACCCCCAGGCGGAGCGACAGGTCTCGGGCCCTCAGGCGGAGCGACAGGTCTCAGGCCCCCAGGCGGGGCGGCGGGCGCTGGACCCCCAGGCAGAGTGACAAGTCTCGGGCCCCCAGGCGAAGCGGCGGGCACCGAGTCACCAGGGCACGACAGTGGGCTCCGAGTCAACTGGCATGACCGCTGGCACTGGGTCAGACATTGGATCGTCTGACTGGACAGCGGGCATCGGGTCACCAGGCATCAGGTCGTTTGGCTCGACAGCGGGCACCGCGTCATCTGGCAAGGCAGTGGGCTCCGAGTCAACTGGTATGACTGCGGGCACTGGGTCAGACATTGGATCGTCTGACTGGACAGCGGGCATCGGGTCACCAGGCATCAAGTAATTTGGCTCGACAGCGAGCACCGCGTCATCTGGCAAGGCAGTGGGCTCCGAGTCAACTGGCATGACCGCGGGCACTGGGGCAGACATTGAATCGTCTGGCTGGACAGCGGGCATCGGGTCACCAGGCATCAGGTCATTTGGCTCGACAGCGGGCACCGCGTCATCTGGCAAGGAAGTGGGCTCCGAGTCAACAGGCACGACAGTGGGCACCGGGTCATCAGGTACCGGATTGTCTGGCTCGACAGCGGGCATCGGGTCACCAGGTATGACAGCGGGCACTGGGTCACCAGGCATCAGGTCATTTGGCTTGCCAGCGGGCACCGCGTCATCTGGCAAGGCAGTGGGCACCGGGTCACCAGGCATTGGATCGTCTGGCTCGACAGCGGACATCGGGTCACCAGGTATGACAGCGGGCACTGGGTCACCAGGCATCAGGTCATTTGGCTCGCCAGCGGGCACCGCGTCATCTGGCAAGGCAGTGGGCACCGAGTCACCAGGTACGACAGCGGGCTCTGAGTCAATTGGCCTAATAGGATCGTCAGGCTGGATCAGTTCATCATGCTGGGTAGAGGCATCAGGCTGAATGCCGCATCCGGCTGAGTAGAGGCTTCAGGCCGAGTAGAGGCTTCAGGCCGAGCTTAGGCCGAGGCTTCAGGCCGAGTAGAGGCTTCAGGCCGAGTAGAGGCTTCCAGGCCGAGTAGAGGCTTCAGGCCGAGTAGAGGCTTCAGGCCGAGTAGAGGCATCAGGCCGAGTAGAGGCTTCAGGCCGAGTAGAGGCTTCAGGCCGAGTAAGGCTTCAGGCTGAACCACGGAAGGCAGGTTCACCGGTTTGGATACTGGCAGGATGGTATTGGTTGGAAAGAATTTTCGCTTTTTTCTGGTTTTAACTACTGGAGCACTGCAAGTAAACGCAGGTCTGCAAACGAATGGAGCAGCTGGAGACAGAGAAGAGCTGGAGGATGGAACAGAGGAGGGAGCAGTTGCTACAGAGGGCTTCTTCACAGGGTTAAAGGCAGGATAGGTGCAGCGAGTGGGAACAGGGGACTGACATGCGGTAGATAGCAGGGTATACTGGGCTGTAACTGGGGGAGTTGTTGGAAATACAGGAATAGAGCTTTGAGGAAATAGATTAGAAGCAGGACTGGGTCTTTGTAAGCTGACTGAGGCTGGGTGTAACAAGTCTGTCCATGTCTGCAGTAGGGGTTGAACAAAGCTGAGCTTACACAAAGCCTGTCTGACCAATGACTGCACTGCGTTTATACAATCTCTTAGTGTCTGTGGTGAACATGTGGAATAACGCTCCAAGAAGCAATCCACATCATCCTCTAATAACCACACCAGGGACTCTACCTGGTCTGCACTAAATGGTGGCAAAAATTCATCCCTGCATTCGGGGGAACCAGATGAAACCAACTCAGCACAAACCTGAATCAATGGCTGCACCATAGAGAAATCTGTGCCCTGATCTACTAGAACATGAGCGATCCGTATACATTCTAGCATTTCATCCCGGGGATACTCCTTCAGAGTCTGATAAGCATACTCCCTGTCATCAAACACTAGCAGATATAAATACTCAACCTCATCCAGATCTATCCTTCCCATCAACAAGCCAAGATAGATGGCTTCCCTGTGCAGCCACTTCTGGTCAGGATTGGCCTTGGTGTAATGTCAGGGCTCCCGGGTATGACCAGAGGTGTGTGACTGACGCAGGGAAACGCAGACTTCAGATATGTTATAAACAATGTAATTTATTAACACTAACCATACAAACATAAACGCAGTGCAATACTAAAACATAACACAGTGCAAACAAACCAACCAAACCACCCACAGATAACAGTACATACAAGCAAGCGTCGTCAGGCAGGCCGGGTCAATATCAATCGGGCAGGTAGGTACAGGGGGAGCAAGCGGAGAATGGTCGGGGTCACAGGCCAGGTTCAGCAGGTAGCGGGCAGCGTGGTACAGAGGGTCAGGCAGAGGAGAATGGTCAGACAAGCCAGGGATCAGAGCAGGGTCAGCAGAGAATCAGACAGGAACAGAGAGCAGGAACAGGATACAGGGCCAAAAGAAACACAACACCAAGGCAGAGTCTGCAGGTCTGAATGTCCCTTAAATACACCAGTATAATTAGTTCCAGGTGTTTGACTGGCTGCAAGGTTGAGTCTCTGATTGCTGGGAGCACCCGCTGGCCAGCCCTGGTACTGCAGCTCATAAGGCAGCTGAGTCCCACTATTGCTGGCCAGTCCATTCCTGACAGCCAGACTGCAGAGAGATTGAAGGAGAGAGGAAGAGTTGGAGACCGCTGGAGAGCTGGACTGGCAACCTAGTGATTGGGCAGACCGGAGTGCTATCATCTGTAGTGCGGGTTGTCAGTGCTCGGAGCAAGGCAAGTAATTTGCGCCCCCCTAACCCATGGACCTATTTTCCGCTTGCTCCAGTCTGGTCACATGATCCCCTGTGTCAGTCAGTGGTGGCTACATGGCTGAGCAGCTGCATCGGAGCCGTCCATCACCAAGTGCAGTGCCAAGCGTCGGATGCCGTCATGTTTCACATGACTGTCATATGCCTTTAGGTGTTCTTTGTATTTTGTCTCTGCTCCTCCCTTTCCTTTGGTTTAGTTCATGCTGTATGGATAGCTCCACCCCTTTGTTCATTTCCCAGTAATGCATTTCAGCTTCAAGCCTCATGTCTCATGAAGCAGATCACATTATGATCTTTTGACCTATCCGATGTTCATTGTTGTAAGATTCTCTCAGTTTATGGAATAAACTTCACAAGATCTACAAGGTGTCGTCTGGATCGAGTCACTGCCTGTGTTATTCAACTAAGATTAGAGTTATTGCTATCTCACCACAACTGTAAGTTACAGAGATCACACTTTCAGTGCTTAGATTGAAGAGACAGAACAGATGCTGTGGTGTAAAGCACGCCACCACTGGACTCTAGAGCAGAGGAGGTGTGCTCTCTGGAGTCACCAATCAATCTTCTCTGGCAGTCCGATGGACGTGTTTGGGTTTGGCAGTTGCCAGGAGATTGATCCTTGCCTGACTGCATTGTGCCAAGTGTAAAGTTTGGTGGAGGGGGGGATTATGGTGTGGGGTTGTTTTTCAGGGGTTGGGCTTGGCCCCCTAGTTCCAGTAAAGGGAACTCTTAAGGCAACATTTTGGACAATTTCACGCTCCCAACTTTGTGGGAAGAGTTTGGGGATGGCCCCTTCCTGTTCCAACATGACTGCGCACCAGTGCACAAAGCAAGGTCCATAAAGACATGGAGGAGCCAGTTTGGGGTGGAGGAGCTTGACTGTCCTGCACAGAGTCCTGACCTCAACCCCATAGAACACCTTTGGGATGAATTAGAGCGGAGACTGCGAGCCAGGCCTCCTCCCCCGACATCAGTGCCTGACCTGACAAATGTGCTTCTGGAAGAATGGTCCAACCTTCCCATAGACACCCTCCTAAACCTTGTGGACGGCCTTCCCAGAAGAGTTGAAGCTGTTATAGCTGCAAAGGGCGGGGCCAACTCAATATTGAACCCTACGGACTAAGACTGGGAGGCCATTAAAGGTCATGTGCATGGGAAGGGCGGGGCCAACTCAATATTGAACCCTACAGACTAAGACTGGGAGGCCATTAAAGTTCATGTAAATGGTAAGACCGGCTGCCCAATACTTTTGGCAATACAGTGTGTGTATATATACAGTCAGGTCCATAAATATTGGGACATGGACACAATTCTAACATTTTTGGCTCTATACACCACCACAATGGATTTGAAATGAAACGAACAAGATGTCCTTTAACTGCAGACTGTCAGCTTTAATTTGACGGTATTTACATCCAAATCAGGTGAACGGTGTAGGAATGACAACAGTTTGCATATGTGCCTCCCCCTTGTTAAGGGACCAAAAGTAATGGGACAATTGGCTTCTCAGCTGTTCCATGGCCAGGTGTGTGTTATTCCCTCATTATCCCAATTACAATGAGCAGATAAAAGGTCCAGAGTTCATTTCAAGTGTGCTATTTCAAGTTAGCTATGCAGAGCCATACAAAGCAGAGTGCATAAAGTGAAACCCAAAACAGCACATAGTTAACCCTTTGATCGCCCCAGAATTTAACCCCTTCCTGCCCAGTGCCATTAGTACAGTGTCAGTGCAGTGCTTTTTTATTAGCACTGATCACTGTATTGGTGTCACTGGGGATGTCAGTGACACCAAGTCAGTTTCCCCCCCCAGTGTCAGAATGCCCGCCGCAGTCCCGCTATAAGTCGCTGATTTCCGCCATTACTAGCATAAAAAAAAAATCCCAGTATCTATACCGCCATTTTTAAACGCTATAACTTTCACGTAAACCAATTAATTTACACATATTGGGATCTTTTTTTTTAGCGAAGGTGTAAGCCGTGTACCGGGGGGGGGCTCCCCAGGATACAGTGAAGTCACGAACGAGGAAAGTAACCCCAACACCAGCTTTTGCCACAACAGAATGTTACTTAGATGTGGCAAATAAACACAACCCCAAATGCTGGAACATACAAGAAATTTACATCCACCCAGCCTGGCTGAGACCCTTGTGCTGCACAGCACGGCGCCTCCTGATGGATGAAGGTAGAAAGTGAAGTAATTTACCTACTGGGGGGCACAACTAAGCTGCCACACCTTACCCGTTATTACCCTACAGAGCAGGAATCAGTGTATGGGGGTACGGTATGGGCTAGCCTGCGGTGCAGCACAACAGCTTACAATCTTACACAAATCTACAGTATTCCCCCTCCCATAACGGCTCCTGTAGCACGTGCCTGAGTATTCCTTCTGAGCAAAACGCCAGTCTGGCTTGAGTTTGTGGGATGTTATCAGCTCTCCAATGTGAAATGTCACTTTAAGTTGTGGAGTCCTTCCAATGATCAGTAACAACACTTGTGGCCTGACACAAACAGAGACCCTAACTAACTATAGGCCTGGACTCAGTCTCAAGGCGCCAACACTGAAATGAGGTGCGTGCACGATCTTGCCGACCCGGGTCTGCTTTTCATCCGCTGGTGACTCTGAACAGAACAAATGTCTCTCCAACAGGCCTGCGATATTGCAGTGCATGCTGCGTTGTTCCTCTGCTCTCATCAGCTTCCTGGCAGAAATCTCATCAGCTTCACCCAGCTGCAGCTCACACGGCCCTTTCTTTCAGCATTCTCCAGAACATGGCTCCTGTCTCCTCTTCCTGTTTCCTCAACTCCAGCTCTGTGTGAAAACTCCACCTCTTCATGAATGTACAAATATCTATGCAGTCTGAGCCTGTGTTAGAAAAACAGTGACATCTTGTGGCTAAACTGCAGAATGTCAGTCAAAACATCAATTTACTTCCACACTGTCAGGAATCAGGGTATGACCAGAGGTTTGTGGACTGACACAGGGAAACGCAGGCTTCAGATATGTTATAAACAATATAATTTATTAATGCTAACAATACAAAACACAGTGCACAACTAAACCTAAACACAGTGCAAACAAACCAAACCACCCACAGATAGCAATACATACAATGCAAGGGTCGTCAGGCAGGCCGGGTCAGTAGCAAACGGGCAAACGGAGTACCAGGAACAGGCGGGAGAGTGGTCGGGGACACGAGCTGGGTTCAGTAACTCATGGGCAGCGCGGTGCAGAGGGTCAGGCAGAGAATGGTCAGGGTCACAAGCCAGGGATCAAACAGGAGAAGTCAGCAGAGGTCAGGATCAGGCAGGGTCGGCAACAAGTCAGACAGGAACAGGGAACAGGAACAGAATACCAGATACAGGGGCCCATGGAAAAACACACACCACGGTCCTGAGTCTGGCCATTCCTTAAATACAACCCCCGTAATCAGCTTCAGGTGTTTGGCTGACTGCAGGGTTGAGTCTCTGATTGCTGAGAGCACCCGCTGGCCAGCCCTGGTACTGCAGCCCACAAGGCAGGTGAGTCCCACCATTGCTGGCCAGTCCATTCCTGACACACACGGTGTTCAAACAATGAGAGCTGTTTCCCCATCTCACAAAGACACGGAGCAGAATACATTTTGGCCTAAATTTATTCAGAACTTGGATTTTTTAAATTTTTTTTCTGGACATGTTTAATAACGAAAAGTCAAAAATATAGTTTTTTTTTTTCTCAAAATTATTGGACTTTTTTTGCTATTAAACATGTCCAGTAAAAAAATATTATTTTTTTTTTCTAAAAATTGGCAGTCTTTTTTATTTTTATAGCGCAAAAAAAAAAAAAAAAATCTCAGAGGTGATCAGATGCCACCGAAAAACAAAACTCTATTTGTGGGAAAAAAAAGGACGTAAATGTAATTTGGGTGAAGCGTTGCATGACCGCGCAATTGTCAAGTTAAAGTAACGCAGTGCTGTATCACAAAAAAATGGGGGGAAATCCTCTGGAGGGCAAGTAGTTGCCACAGTAAGAATATACCAGGGGCGGACTGACAACTCATGGGGCCCTCGGGTAATAGGGGATCATGGGGCCCCTGTGTCCTCGCCCACACCCACAAAAATCCTATGAAAAAGCCAATGAAAGGTACCAGGGGCATCTCATGGGGCCCCCTACTGACCCCGGGCCCTCGGGCAGTGCCTGAGTGCTCAAATGATCAGTCCGCCCCTGGTATATACTATATGTTCCATACCTGTGGGATCCCTATAGAAGCTGGAAATCGCTGTAGTAGGCATCACTACTGCCGCTGGCTTCTGGATCGCTGACCATTCAGAGAATACTTTGCATTTTCTTAATGGAAGCAAAATGTTCTCAGATTGGACAAGGCGGAGATTGTGATGTCACTGCCCCGCCTTGCCACCTCATCCAATCAGGGAATGTTTTGCATTCATTAAGACAATGCAAAATGTTTTCTAAACGGTGTCTGTGCTGAGGAAGCAACCTCCTGTGTTTACAATGCAGCAGAGTTGGGGAACACAGAAGCTAGCAGAGATCACTGGAGTAGCGTTGTAGCCAGGGGCGGACTGACAACTCATGGGGCCCCCGGGCAATAGGGGATCATGGGGCCCCCTGTTTCCTTGGCTAAACTCAAAAAAACCTATGAAAAAGGTAGCAGGGGCATCTCATGGGGCCCCCTACTGACCCCGGGCCCGCGGGCAGTGCCCGAGTTTCCGGTCAGTCTGCCCCTGGTTGTAGCAGCAGTGCCTACTACACTAATTTTTAACATTCTCGGGGATCTCACAGGTAGCTATGGACCAATGATGTAAAAATTGCAGCTGTAAAGTGGTTGTAAACTCTTACATATACCCACTGAAGTGACTGGGTTCAGATGATACACAGAAATGAAGCACATCCTCATAAATAAGTTGTACTTGTTTATCTGCAGCCCTCTCTCTTCTACAGCCATTGGTAGTAGACAGTTTAGACAGCATTTCCGAGCTTCAGAAGGCAGGGGGCGGGGATCTGATGTCACAAAGATACAAAGAGATGAATCCTCATACATAAGTTGTACCTGTTTATCTGCAGCCCTCTCTCTTCTACAGTCATTCGTAGTAGACAGTTTAGACAGCATTTCTGAGCTTCAGAAGGCAGGGGGCGGGGATCTGATGTCACACACTGCACAACATAAAGCAGAGAGCTGAATGTAATTTGAGACATGAGTGGAGGGAATGGGCACACCTCCCTCTACACTGTCTCATAGGGAAACATGCACGGCTGAGGGTGTCAATCACCTACTGGGGTCAGGGCTGTCTCCTGGGACTGTCTGGTGTCAGCATAGACTGTCAGACGTGACTCATGCAGATAGTAAAGGGTGGAGAGAAATGCTAGAAATCACACTCTGTGCTCTGGATAGAGGCAGGTACACACTATAGAAGGATATGTTTTGTCCATTTTTCGTTTCAAAAGTTTACAACCCCTTTAACCACTTTCCGTCCGGCCACTGTATATAAACGGCCTGATGGTGGCAGTCCAGAGGCGGATTGCCGTTCACAAACGGCACCCGCCATTTTGGATTGCTCGTTCCCTGGGAGCGCGCGCGGCACCGCGATCCGGGTGCCAGCCAGAGGACACAGCAGAACATCGATCGCTTTATGGGACCTCTGTGTGAGGTCCCGATCATGTGATCACGGATTGGCCAATCAGTGATCACATGAATAGTAGTAAGCAAGATGTCACTTCTGACATCATTGCTTACTATGTGTGAAATCTGTGAATGATCACAGAGGTCACATGGTACAGGGCCATTCACAACAGCCTTGTACCATCATGTGACAAGCAGTGACCAATCACATCTCACACAGTATTTCTCAATGGCTGCAAGAATGCAGCCAGAGAGAAGGAGAAATTACTGCTTTTACAGCCTTTATGGGTGTAAAAGAAACCAGTGTAAAAAAAAAATCTTCATCACCCCCCACAAGTAGCACAGTTTCACCATGGTGTCTGTACTGCTAGGGTGACAGTATGTAGAAAAAAACAAAAATAAGAATATAAAAAAAAAATAAAATAAAAATGTAAAACTTTTTTTTTTTAAATTATAATTTTTGGTTATAAACTAATTTGGGTTATTTTATTTTTACTAAAAAGATAACGGAATACATTTTGGCCAAGAGTTATGAAGAAAGATTATTTATTTGCAAAATTGTATAAGAAACACATATTTTCAAAATTTTTGGACTTTTTCATTTATATAGCAAAAAAAAAAATCCCAGCGGTGAATAAATACCACCAAAATAAAGTTTTATCTGTCTCACAAAAATGCTAAAAAATTCATATGTGTACAGTGTTGCATGACCGCGCAATTGTTATTCAAAGTGTGGTAGCGCTGAAAGCTGAAAATTTGGCCTGGAAGGGGGTGAAAGTGTCCGGACTGGAAGGGGGGTGAAAGTGTCCGGACTGGAAGGGGGTGAAAGTGTCCGGACTGGAAGGGGGGGGAAGTGTCCGGACTGGAAGGGGGTGAAAGTGTCCGGACTGGAAGGGGGTGTGAAAGTGTCCGGACTGGAGGGGGGGGAAAGTGTCCAGACTGGAAGGGGGTGAAAGTGTCCGGACTGGAAGGGGGTGATGAAAGTGTCCGGACTGGAAGGGGGTGAAAGTGTCCGGACTGGAAGGGGAGGGAAGTGTCCGGATTGGAAGGGAGTGAAAGTGTCCGGACTGGAGGGGGGGGAAAGTGTTCCGGACTGGAAGGGGGTGAAAGTGTCTGGATTGGAAGGGGGTGAAAGTGTCTGGATTAGTAGTAGGTGAAAGTGTCTGCATTGGAAGGGGGTGAAAGTGTCCAGACTGGAAGGGGGGGGAAGTGTCCGGACTGGAATGGGGGGGGGGGGAAGTGTCCGGACTGGAAGGGGGATGAAAGTGTCAGGACTGGAAGGGGGTGAAAGTGTCTGGATTGGAAGGGATGGGGGGGAAAGTGGTCCGGACTGGAAGGGGGGGAAAGTGTCTGGACTGGAAGGGGGTGAAAGTGTCCGGACTGGAATTGGAAGGGGGGGGAAAGTGTCGGACTGGGAAGGGGGTGAAAGTGTCTGGACTGGAAGGGTGGAAAAAGTGTCCGGACTGGAAGGGGTGGAAAGTGTCCGGACTGGAAGGGGGTGGAAAAGTTGTCCGGACTGAATGGGGGGGAAAGTGTCCGGACTGGAAGGGGGGGAAAAGTGTCCGGACTGGAAGGGTGGAAAAAGTGTCTGGACTGGAAGGGGGGGTGAAAGTGTCTGGACTGGAAGGGGTGAAAGTGTCTGGATTGGAAAGGGGTGAAAGTGTCCGGACTGGAAGGGGTGTGAAAGTGTCCGGACAGGAGGGGGGGGGAAAGTGTCCGGACTGGAAGGGGGTGGGGTGAAAGTGTCCAGACAGGAAGGGGGGGAAAGTGTCCGGACTTGGAAGAGTGGAAAAGTGTCCAGACTGGAAGGGGGTGAAAGTGTCTGGATTGGAAGGGGGAGAAAGTGTCTGGATTGGAAGGGGGGGGAAAGTGTCTGGACTGGAAGGGGGGTGAAAGTGTCTGGACTGGAAGGGGGGGAAAGTGTCTGGACTGGAAAGGGGGGGAAAGTGTCTCTGGACTGAGGGGAAAAAAAGGGGGGGAAAGTGTCCGGACTGGAAGACGGGGGGGGAAAGTGTCCGGACTGGAAGGGGGTGGAAAGTGTCTGGACTGGAAGGGGGGGAAAGGTGAAAGTGTCCGGACTAGGAAGGGGGTATGAAAGTGTCCGGACTGGAAGGGGGGGGAAAGTGTGAAAGTGTCCGGACTGGAAGGAGGTGAAAAGTGTCCGGACTGGAAAGGGGGTGAAAGTGTCCGGACTGGAAGGGGGGTGAAAGTTGTCCGGACTGGAAGGAGGTGAAAGTGTCCGGGGACTGGAAGGGGGGTGAAAGTGTCCGGACTGGAAGGGGGTGAAAGTGTCCGGACTGGAAGGGGGTGAGGGTGAAAGTGTCCGGACTGGAAGGGGGTGAAAGTGTCCAGGCTGGAAGGGGGTTGAAAGTGTCCTGGACTGGAAGGGGGTGAAAGTGTCCGGACTGGAAGGACGGGGGTGAAGTGTCCGGACACAATGGAAGGAGGGTGAAAGTGTCCGACTGGAAGGAGGTGAAAGTGTCCGGACTGGAAGGGGGTGAAAGTGTCCGGACGGAAGGGGGTGAAAGTGTCCCGGACTTGGAAGGGGGTGAAAGTGTCCGGACATTTAGTGGTTAAAGAAATACAATAAAATAATCAGCTCCTAAAAGTCTCCAATAGTTTACCAAACAATGAAGTAGAAAATACACAGGGTAAGGCTCTAGGCCTCCTGACAAGAGGAAGAGGATCAATTTCTGAATGTATTTTTAATACATGGCACCGGGGGCACTTATGAATTGCTTGTTGACATTTGAGCAGTCATCGGTAGGCTTGCACACTTTATAAAAGTCGTTTCTCTGACTGTGATCCTTCACACATGCAAGCTGTTCCCGATAATTCAGCATCCTATATTTTTAGATAATGCCTTCTAGAAGGAGCAGAATTGACGAGTCAGCAATGACCAGAGCCAGTCGATTCTGCTGAATTGACTCTTTTGCCTTCGGATAGCGACTTGTCATGACAAGTGTGCTGGCAGGTGTCCACCCCGCTGATGTTGGACACAAAGTGAAAGAGATCGGCTCATCAGGAATAATTTAAGTAAAGTCTCTCGTTATACTAATTTGCTGGGGGATGAAGGCAGCTCAGCCTGTTCTGAGACGATGATTATCGTGTCAAGATGAGTTGATGAGCATGGTGTGCGGTTGCAGATTTTAATTAAATGTCGTTTTGGCTTCCTTGGCACCAAGCAGGCCTTGGTGAGAAGGTGGGAAGAATATCGAATGAGCTGGGGCCTTGTGAGTGAGGTGGTTTGGAATGTCCAGTTTTTTGGGGGTCAAGAGTAAATATCCCCAGTTGTCCCGGGGTGCAGGCTCTCATAAAATGGTTGCGGAGGTCACTGTACAGGAACATTTCTAGGTCTGCCATTAGAAAACTGCACAATCCCAAATTCAGCAATTTAACTCAAACACTTGCCACCTGTCCCAGACGTCATGGCGCCATGGTAATTGGATTATGAAAATAGAACAGGGTGGCTTCATAAATGTTCAATCTCTCTTGTCATGATCTTAAAACAGCCTTCTCAACATTTTTTTTATCATGGAGGGTCCTTTGTAAAAATGTTCAGGTCTTAGGGATCTCTTGCCAATAATGAATATATGTATATATAGCTAATTGCACATTAATGAGGTGGAGACACAGAGGTACATGGAGACCAAGGTTGATAAAGACACAGGGGTCACTGGAAACACAGAGGCCACTGGAGACAGAGGTCACTAAAGACAGAGATCATTAGAGACAGAGGTCGTTGGAGACAGAATGCGCTGGAGACTGAGTTTGCTGGTAACAGAAGTAATTGGAAACACAAGGGCTGTTGGAGGCACAGGGGCACTGGAGTCACAAGGGCCACTGGGGTCAGAGGTAACTGGATACAGAGAGGTCACTGGATACACAGAGGTCAATGTAGGCAGAGGTCCCTGGAGACACAGGGGTTTCTGGAGTTGCAAGGGACACTGGAGTCACAAGAGCTTCTGGAGACACAAGGGTTGCTGGAGTCACAAGGGCCCTTGGATACACAGAGATTACTGGAGTTACAAAGGCCGCTGGAGAAACGGGGTTGCCGGAGTCACAAGGCCTGTTATAGAAATAGTGGCTGCTGGAGACACAAGGGTCACTGAAGT